TGCAGCTCCTGGCAGCACCTGTACTTCAACTGAAAAGCTGGATCAAAGTACCTGCTCTTTCAGGGGAAGAGCATCCTCATCTAGAATGCATATCTAATTACCAGAAATGAGAACAGCCTACCCTGAATCTCACTTTGTTAAGATTCAGCTTCCATTTATTGCTTCTCATCCAGCCCATTTCCAAATCCAGACACTGGTTCAGCATCTGCATGGCCTCATTTGACTCAAACGAGAAGAATTCAAGCTGGGTATCATTAGTATGTTGATGACATTTCACTCCATATCCCTTGATTATTTTATCCAGCAGCTTCATATAGATGTTAAAATATATGGAGGATGAGTCGGGCTCCTGTGGGTCATTTGTGCTGTGGAGTCTAGCAGGAAGTTGCAATGCAACTTTCAGGAATTGATCTTAAGGTCTAAGACCCCTTTCTGTCATATATCTAGGCCTCTGATACCCAACCTGTACCTAGTGTTGTTGTTTTGTTTGTTGTTAGTTGTGAAGTCATGTTCGATCCATCGCGACCCCATGGACAACATTCCTCCAGGCCTTCCTGTCCTCCACCATCTCCCAGAGTCCACCCAAGCTCACACCAACTGCTTCAGTGTCTCCATCTAGCCACCTCATCCTCTGCTGTTCCCTTCTTCTTTTGCCATCTATTGTTCCCAGCATTAGACTCTTCTCCAGGGACTCCTTCCTGGAGTCCCTGGAGAAGTTCCTCATTAGGTGGCCAAAGTATTTGAGTTTCATCTTCAGTATCTGGCCTTCTAAAGAGCAGTCAGGGTTGATCTCCTCTAGGACTGACCGGTTTGATCGCCTTGCGGTCCAAGGGACTTGCAGAAGTCTCCTCCAGCACCACAATTCAAAGGCCTCAATCCTTTTGTGCTCAGCCTTCCTTATGGTCCAGCTTTCACAGCCATACATTTCAACTGGGAAAACCATAGCCTTGACTATACGCACTTTTGTTGGCAGGGTGATGTCTCTGCTTTTTAGTATGCTGTCTAGATTTGCCATAGCTTTCCTCCCCAGGAGCAAGCATCTTTTAATTTCTTGACTGCAGTCCCCATCTGCGGTGATCTTGGAGCCCAGGAAAATAAAATCTGTCACTACCTCCATTTCTTCTCCATCTATTTGCCAGGAAGTGAGAGGACTGGATGCCATGATCTTAGTTTTCTTAATGTTGAGTTTCAAGCCAACTTTTGCGCTCTCCTCCTTCACCCGCATCAAGAGGCTCTTTAGTTCCTCTTCACTTTCTGTCATGAGAGTGGTATCATCTGCATATCTGAGGCTGTTGATATTTCTCCCAGCAATCTTAATTCCAACTGGTGATTCATCTAGCCCCGTCTTTCTTATGATGTGCTCTGCATATAAGTTAAATAGGCAGGGCGACAGTATACAGTCTTGCCGAACACCTTTCTCAGTTTTGAACCAATCAGTGGTTCCGTGTCCAGTTCTCACTGTTACTTCTTGACCCGCATATAGGTTTCTCAAGAGACAAATAAGATGGCCTGATACTTCCATCTCTTTAAGAACTTGCCACAATTTGTTGTGATCCACACAATCAAAGGCTTTAGCATAGTCAATGAAGCAGAAGTAGATGTTTTTCTGGAACTCCCTAGCTTTCTCCATGATCCAGCGTATGTTGGCAGTTTGATCTCTAGTTCCTCTGCCTCTTTGAAATCCTGCCTGTACTTCTGGTAGTTCTTGGTCCACATACTGCTGGAGCCTAGCTTGTAGAATTTTGAGCATCACTTTGCTAGCATGTGAAATGAGTGGAATGGTGTGGTAGTTTGAACATTCTTTGGCATTGCCCTTCTTTGGGATCAGAATGTAAACTGACCTTTTCCAATTCTGTGGCCACTGTTGAGTTTTCCAAATTTGCTGGCATATTGCGTGTAGCACTTTTACTGCATCGTCTTTTAAGATTTTGAATAGCTCTACTGGAATACTGTCGCCTCCACTAGCTTTGTTGTTGCTCAGATTTGCTAAGGCCCATTTGACTTCACATTCCAGGATTTCTGGCTGGAGGTCAGTGACCACCCCATCGTGGTTATCAGGGATGTTAAGCTCTTTCTTGCATAGTTCCTCTGTGTAATCTTGCCATCTCTTCTGCCTCTGTTAGGTCCCTGACATTTTGGTCCTTTATCATTTGCATAAAACATTCCCTTCATATCTTCAATTTTCTTGAAGAGATCTCTGGTCCTCCCTATTCTATTGTTTTCTTCTATTTCTTTGCACTGCTCATTAAAGAAGGCATTCTTATCTCTTCTAGCTATTCTCTGGAATTCTGCATTCAATTGGGTGTAGCTTTCCTTTTCTCCCTTGCCTTTCACTTCCCTTCTTTCCTCAGCTGTTTGTAAAGCTTCCTCAGACAGCCATTTTGCTTTCTTGAATTTCTTTTTCTTTGGGATGGTTTTAGTTGCTACCTCTTGTACACAATGTTGCGAACCTCCATCCATAGTTCTTCAGGCACTCTGTCTATCAGATCTAATTCCTTAAATCTATTTGTCACCTCTACTGTATATTCAGCAGGAATATGATTTAGGTCATACCTGAGTGGCCTAGTGCTTTTCCCTACTTTCTTCAATTTAAGCCTAAATTTTGCAACCAGAAGCTCATGATCTGAGCCACAGTCAGCTCCTGGTCTAGTTTTTACTGACTGTATAGAGCTTCTCCATCTTTGGCTGCAGAGCACATAGTCAATCTGATTTCTGTGTTGACCATCTGGTGATGTCCATGTGTAGAGTCATCTCTTGGGTTGTTGGAAAAGAGTGTTTGCTATGACCATCGTTTTCTTTTGACAAAATTCTACCAGCCTGTGCCCTGCTTCATTTTGTACTCCAAGGCCAAACTTGCCTGTTATTCCGGTTATCTTTTGGCTTCCCACTTTAGCATTCCAATCCCCCATGATGATAAGGACATCATTTTTTTGGAGTTAATTCTAGAAGGTTATAGGCCTTCATAGAACCGGTCAACTTCAGCCTCTTCAGCACCAGTGGTTGGGGCATAGACTTGGACTACTGTGATGTTGAATGGTTTGCCTTGGATTTGAACTGAGATCATTCTGTCATTTTGGAGATTGTATCCAAGTACTGCTTTTCCTACTCTTTTATTAACTATGAAGGCTACTCCATTTCTTCTGAGGGATTCTTTTCCGCAGTAGTATACCTGATGGTCATCTGAATTAAATTCACCCATTTCTGTCCATTTTAGTTCACTGATTCCTAAGATGTCGATGGTCAGTCTTGTCATCTCTTGTTTGACCACATCCAGCTTGCCTTGATTCATAGATCTTACATTCCAGGTTCCTATGGAGTATAGATCTTTGCAGCATTGGACTCTCCTTTCACCACCAGATACATCTGTAACTGAGTGTCCTTTCGGCTTTGACCCAGTCGCTTCATTCTTTCTGGCGCTACTAGTACTAGCCCTCTGCTCTTTCCTAGTAGCATATTGGACACCTTCCAACCTGAGGGGCTCATCTTCCATCGTCATATCTTTTTGCCTTTTGGTACTGTCCATGGGGTTTTCATGGCAAAGATACTGGAGTGGGTTGCCATTCCCTTCTCCAGTGGATCACGTTTTGTCAGAGCTCTGTGCTATGACCTGTCCGTCTTGGATGGCCCTGCACGGTATAGCTCATAGCTTCATTGAGCTACACAAGCCCCTTCACCACGACAAGGCAGTGATCCATGAAGGAGGTACCTAGTAAGATACCATGAATAATGATATCAAAAGGGTTGTTCTTCCCACTTGTAGCTGAAATCATCCATCAGAATGATCGTGGCCAAGTCAGCAGTGACCAAGACCTGAAACTGAATGGAAACTGGTTTAGATAATTTGTTTACTCCAAAAGCATCTGAAGTTGAGTCACTACTACCCTATCTGTGTCCTGAAAGGGGTTATTGTTGACTGCATGAAAGTTAAATCTCTTGGCTCCACCCTAAGCCACAAAGTATATTAACTCTTTCTTGGATCAATCTCCCCCAGCTGTACAGGTGTTTGTTTGAACCCCTATAAGCACCTCATCCACATCCTCAGTGATATTGATCCAATACAACTGATTTAGATGAAGCTCTGGACATCTTCACTGGGTCAGTACTGGTGCCAAAATTCAAAGTGAACATGAATAATATTATACTCAAAAGTTCCTTGTAGACTTGGCATACCAAACTTCCAAGTGTTCCACTACATCCTCATGTAGGGCAGTATCCAATTGTGTTACTCTGGAAACTCAGACAGCACTAGCAAAATTGCACCAAGACATTTGTACAAGCATAATCTATCTGTACAAGCATAATCGCCGTCGTTATTTGTTTTTCGGCGTCAGGCTAAGACCTTTTCTTTAAACCTTATTTTAATTGCTAAATTATTGAATTAATTAGGATTTTAAAATTAGTCGAGAATGCACTGGGGGTTTTTAAATGTTTTTTTCTTTTAAATTATTATATTATTATTTACGTATGTTTTTATGTATTTTTTGTGAGCCGCCCTGAGGCTTTGTTGTGATGGGGGTGGCATAGAAATGTTTTAAATAAATAAATTTAGTTGGATTCTTTTTTGTGTATAATTCAGGATCTAGTTTCCACTAGTGCAACATAATTTGTGTTAATGGAATGACCCAGCTGAATATTGCCCATACTCTGATTTTAACCAATTTACCACTTGGACAGCATCATGAAGCAGTTGAAACTGAGAAGTATGAATGTTTCACCATAAGCACTGCCACAAAGTAGACATGATAATGTGTTCTCACTTGTGAATGGGGATACTCCCTGTGTGATTTGACCTTCCTCTTTTCAAACTCATAGGTCCTGAATTAAACCACAGAATGTGTTGGATTCAACAGTGTTGGAGAAGATTCTTAGAGGCAATCTTGTTGATAGCTTATGAATTGCACCTTGCCATTCAAAATACAGCTACAAAATTTTCATGTTATTAGACTTGATACATAGAACCCCTAATTTATTTCTGTGTATTCTTTTTTTCTATTGGACAGGCTTGCCAAGAGATTGAAAAATGAACCTCTAAAGTCAGATTTTACAATAGATTTAAAACATGAGGTAAGTCCATTCTCTTACACTGGAAGATGTGCTTTCTTGGCTCTGTGCAATAGGAGGAGGGAAGTTATATTAATGATTTCCTTCATTTGTTCATTATATAGAATAATAAAGGACCAAAATCATGGTATAGGTCAGGGGTGGCCAGGCTTGCTCAATGGAAGAGCCACATATGGTATATCTCGAATGTTTGAGAGCTGCAAGACATGAATAAATATTTATGTTTGTTTATTATGACCAAATAGGCATTGCTACAAGTATCAGGCTAGTTATTGCTAGTAGAGGTCTAGTGAATATCCATCTTGGCTGTGAGTTGTTGAAAATCTGGCTGATACATTGTCAAGGCTGTGCAAATTAGCTCTGTTGAAGTCATATGACTGAAGCACCACCATTGGTTATCACAGTAGGAAACTCGTGTCCCCTGCTTTTGTTTGCACTTGCTCAGCTGCTCAGAAGAGATGTTGCATCTGGCTTTTTGTCCCCTCTTTCCATGTGCTGGCTAAGCTGCTCAGATTTGAACTTGTGTCAGCCTTTTTCATCCCCTCTGTGAGCAGCAAAATTAACTGAGAGTAGCAAGTGGCTCGTGAGCCTAGGTTTAGCCACCCCTGGTATAGGTTAATATTGAACTCATTCTTTGAGAATCAGTCCTTATGTAGCCAAGATGGCATCATTCTTGGCATGAATGACCAAATGGCATGGGAAGACATTAGCAGGCTGAGGAAACACCAAGTTTTGTAGAAGTATAACAATATTTAGGAAAACATGGTAGGCATGTCATGAGCAGAGCCAGCTGGAGCTGGGGGTCAGACTAGATGGTCTTCTGACTCACTTTGTTTCTATGTTTCTAGAACACACATAGGAGGAGGAATACGAAACAGGCCAGTGAAGACTGAGGATAATCATTGGGCACAGAGTGCTGTTTTGTGGCAGGAGGAGAATAGAATGTAGTATGCAGAACATGGGCCTGGCTGGCTGGAATCCTGTAACATTCCACAGTGTCACATTTTAAAGGATTGCTAATATTTTAGAATACAGAGGGAATATTTAAAAGATCCAAAAAGCCAGTGGAGGCTAGCAGCTCCAGTGTCAATGGGGCAATGCAATGCACCTAAAGGTGCTAAACCTGTTTTAGTGAAAGAGGTTCAGTTCAGCACCATAGATAACTCCTTTAAAGTCCAGAATGGATGCACTAACCCACTAACAGTGGAGACACCATCCTCCAGTGTCCAGACCTACTTAGCCTCATGCAGGGAGTTTCTGCAGTCCAGTGACACCTTTTCTACTTTCTTTTTGAACATACAAAATAATCTTTTTGTACCCATCCTTTGTATTATCCACAAGTGTGAAACATTTTTTATTTTAATAGGCAAGTTAATTTGAAAGGCATGTGTGACTGAGAAAAGCAACCTTAAAACTAGGCTAACTGCATGTTTCTTTGTGTCTCAGCCTGTCTTACCATCTCCTTGAAATCTGTGTGAGAGGTAGGGTGAGATGGACATAAATAGAAAAGTATTACAAAGTACTGTGTTGATATACCAATCTGTGTTAGACATTAGTCAAAGAAAAATCAAGTTGACTTTAATCTATTTATGTTGGTTGGAATCCAAAGCACCTGATACATTTTATACTATGTACTCCCTCTAAACTTTCTGTGCTAATGTCAAAAGGAGAATTTACAAGTGCAGTATGACAAGCACTTCCATAAATTCATGCAATGTTTCAGAAATCATCTGCCATGGCCATCTGAAGAATAAATGCTAGTAGCAGGAAAAGAGTTTATAAATACTGTCTGTTCCATATGTTCTCTCTCCATTTTGGTATAATGTCTTATTCATGATCTTTTCAAAGGTAAACCTACAAAATGATATACTATCAAATAGCACAATGCTTTAAAAATATAACACAGAGAGAAAAAGGCTCACATCTTCCATTTAATTAACAGAAAAGACATAAGGACTTGCAATCGATAAAACCAATTAACTTTTGTGCCCATTTGCAGATGGCAGTTCAAAGTTTTTCAGGAGCTCTGGTATATATATGGAACCTCCACAGCAGCAAAGTCTTTTCCATGCACCTCAACACTTGAGTTGCACTTAGTTGACACAGTAAATCATTTAAATGCTTCAGACTTAATATTTAACTCCCACCTTTACTTGAAGTTTCAGCTTCCTACACTGAATGAATCCAATTATGCAGCAAAATGGGAGACATTAATAAGTTGTGTTTTGATATACATTTTCTCTGAAACATTTTTATTAGTTCTTCTTAAAAAAACCTCTGTAATTCAAAGTCTGTCTCATAACTGTAGCTAACCCAAATTTGATCGCTATTCCACCCAGCAGTGCCAACTACAGAACCAGGTTATTTGCATTGTTAGCTTAGGAATATGTATATGAAAGTGGACAACTCACACAAGTGCAGGTCTTCCATATTTATATGTATTACCAATGTTCAGATAGAAACAGAGACCATGCTTGAAGAACACAAGCCCTATTTATTAGTAATGAAATATACATTGAAAGGTTACCATTTTTTCCTTTTCAAAATGACAGTTTATGGTATTACTAGGCATTATTGAAAACGAAGGGATGTTTGTGATTTCCTTCTCTGCTCTCAAAAGCTTCTGATGCCTCAGGTCATTATTTCTTTCCTGCCTCTCTCAACTGTTTTTAGTATGCTGCTGTGCATTCCCAGGTACAATGTAATTCATTTTTGGTATATTCTGTTAGAACCCTTCCTTCAGGGTTTTTTTAAATGACACATGCTGAGCCCATTGTGGATTTCTTTATAATTAATCCTGTCAGTGCTTCTTTTCTTCTTCATTTAACTAGCTTTTGAGTAAGAATCCTGGAACACCAAAATCTATTGACTTCTAACCCTTAACATGACATAAGCTTTATGAGCTCTTTGGAAATGTCAAGTTCCTTTTTCCTGTTAAAGGGTGAAAATGATCTAGGATATCTGTGGGACAACAACATTAGGCAGATTACCACAACATGGAATAATATCATTAAAGCACCCTGCTATAATTGTCAAAATAAGCATGATTTTAAAATATACATCTTATTTTACTATTTAATTAATTTTCATCATTTCAGGAATGGATTATTCAAATGTTAAAAGTAGCTATAGGGAAGAATGATGGTGTTTGTCTACACAGCTGTGTGAACATTTACTGAGCTTCCTGGCCATCTGTTCTTGTCAGTCTTAACTAAACTTATTTTCAATTTGTGTTTTCTTCTTCTCCAGTTGGGAATAAATAATAGTCACTGAACATATGTGCAGTCTTATGAGACATCATATACATTAGTTATATGTAGGTATATGTGAAAAGATTAGTGTTTGAGGCAAATTCACAATTAGATGACTTTGAAATACAAACTCACCAAGTTTGAAAAGCCCATTGTTTTCATCTGTGTCGATACCCTTCTGAATGAAAGCTCATTTCAGAATTAGTGTTGCTCCACTGCTATGTGTTCCACCTCCCTCCCAAGCAAAAAAGGCTTATCTTTGAAAAGAAAAAGGTAATGGTTGGTAGGACAAGGGATTTGCTGGTAATCTTGTTCCTGAACATGCTTTGTGGGCTGGGGGGGCATTTTCTACATGGACATGAATTCCTAAATTGAATTGGAAGGTAAGAGGAAATTACAAATCTCATGCACCACCACTATTTTCTGCATCTAGCAACCTCTCCCAAATTGTCCCCTAACTATTATTAGGAACTTAGAAAATCTTGTACCAGGTCCATCTAGCTCAGTACTGTCTACACTGACTAGCAGTGACTATCCAGTTTTATGGATTGGAGTCTTTTCACCCCTACCCGCAAATACCAAATTTGAATCTAGGATCTTCTGTATGCAATGCATGTGCCCTACCACTGCACTATGGCTCTTTCCCCTTCTCAAAGGCAAGACATTGTTGGATTAATTTCTTCTTCATTTGGTAAGGGAATGGAAGCATTTTACTGCTTTACATCTTTTTAGTTTCCTTAAAACAACCTGAGAGAATTTAAGGATGTTAGATCTTTTCTGGGAAAGCTGATGAAAATGAATGAATTTAGGGTAATCAGGAGTTTTCTAGTCATTTGACAATTTATCACTACTTTTATAGGTAGAAGACATAGTAGGTTTGTTTGCTTTTAACAGTGTGCTATGTCTGCATACATGGAAGTATTAGCATAAGCTCTTCAAAATTAGAAATTCCTTTTGCACAGCAGATTAGCAGGTCTGAATGTAATTCCCATATCTCTTTTGTACAGTCTTATGCAAGTTATTTGTGTAGCATATGGGTATCTTCAAAGTATGAGCATATTTCATTACTAATTGCTATCTACTGTATATTTTACATTATATTTTGAAAGATTGCATTGTATATCTGGGAGAAAGGCAGTGGACCACATCTCACCACAGTGACTGAGTTTTGTACAAGTGACTTGTATGCTCCCAATACTGCACACTGTGCCACCACATTTGTGAATTCCCTTCCACTTTGTGTAAGTATTTCCATTTTTTCCTGTAAAAGGTAGACAAATAAAGAGGGCTTATTCTAATACTTTCCTACCTGCTCAAAACTTTTCAGACTTAGGAACTTTGCAGGTTTCTTCAGATACATTTAATTGATTTAAATAAATTAAGACAGACATGAATGGAGGATTTGGAAGAGCAGAATGCTAATATTTATTTATTTATTTATTTATTAAAACATTTTTATGCCGCCCCATTCGCCGAAGCCTCGGGGCAGCTTACATTGTAGTTTGTTGTTAGGTGCTTCCAGATGGATGGCTTTTAACATTGCCAATCATTCCTCTTGAACCATATGTTAAAAGTAGAATTCTCATTGACTAACTTCAGGTAGTCTAATACTTTTTTGTTGTATATCAACCTCACAGTAGGCTCAACATACCTAAAGGAACTGTATTTTCCTCTCCCCTTTCATAATCGTTCCTGGTGCCACACAACACTCCCCTTACATTTTGAGGTTGATGCTTCTCAGCAGCATTTTAATACCCTATTTATGAGTGTGTTTAAAAAAAATTCCTGCAGTGCAGAGCAAGTAGATTGCAGCTTTACTCAATAAACATGGTTATGATGCTGATGTAAACCATGTCCATATTTGATCAGTTTTACAACTACCTAGGAAACTGACCTGCCTTTTCTAGTTAATTCAAACTTGTCGCTGGCCAGTTCCACCACCAAGCAGAACAACTACAGAATTTTGTTACATTCTTGCTTTCTCTGCTCTCTATACAAGTTTGAAAGGTCTCCTTTGATTCATTGTATTCAACCTGTTTGAAAGATAGAAGTTGCAATTAACAAGCAGTATGTCAGTTTTGCTTTCATTAAAAAGGAAAGAAAAGCAGCACTACTGTGTTTAGTGAGATATACGCTTACACTGTTAGGTCACAGAAACAGTTGGATAGTGAGGAAAGATTCACTTTGCTGAAGTTAAAATGCCCATACAAGTCAAAATACAAACAGTAGGGAAGGGAGGGTTTACCCCAACATGATATGCACTTTTCCCAAAGTGGCTACTCCCACTGTGCTTTGGTTGCACATTTTTCTGTCCACAGCTGCTGAAAAATTGCAGTGCTGTTCCACTCTTGACCTGATTTTCTTTGCAGTTGCAGAAAGATAGATATAATAGGGGGAAAGCATGCTGATTATAAATATAATCTGAACTCTTTATAAAGTTCTGTAAATGAAGCAGAGTGATTGCACAATAATATCCTCATCTGAAAGTACCCAACATTGTCTTTTTCGGTCATCAGCCATGTGTGTTCAGTCACATATCTGCCCCATTGCTTGTAAAGTAGGATGTGTGTATTCCTTATTCTGACATGAAAAGAAGTGTGTGAATAAAGCATGGGAAACCTGTTAGCTCGGGAGGAATAAATGGCTTAAAAGTATGTACCCTTCAGGGTTCTTTGAGAAGCTGGAAGGAACAGCTGAAAGCAGCAAAGAGGAAAAGAAGAGAAAGAACCTTGACTGGTTATTCTTCTGATCCATGAATGAATGTTGTTTTAATACTGGAATTGGTAATTAATGTTCATTTTTCTAATCATTATGTGGGATAACTAGGCTGCTTTTTAAAAAATGTTCAAATGCAGAGGATTAGGTGCAAATTCCCAGATTGCAGTAGAAATAATTTGTGACATGTCCAAGCTTGGTAGGTGGATAGCCACCTGAAAATGATGACTAGGTTGCCTGGCATGTTGGTTCAAAAAAGAAGATTGTAGCCAAGTCAATTACCCATTCTGGAACCCAGAGAACCACTCAAGTAGTACTGTGTAACCAAAAGAGCTTTGAGCTAGTTTTTCTCAACAGCAATGTCTCCTCCTATCACATGGCAAAACACTTTTGAAACTGAGGAGACATGCAAAAACAGATTGAAATATAATTGTTTGGACCTGTTATGAGAAGATAGAATTAGGAATTTGGAAAGGTATGAGCTAAAAAGAGCTAGCTCTTTTGGTGTTTTTGTTTTGTTTTTTCAGGGAACAGCCTGATCAGCTAGTATCACTTCCAAACAAAGTCAAGATGAATTCATCTATCATTAGTTGCAACTTGGTTTAGGGCCCAGGGACTGCAGGTGGCACAGTGGTTTAAACAGTGGTTTAAACCACTGTGCTGCTGGGCTGGTAAATTGAAAGGTCGCAGGTTCGAATTTGCACACCGGGGTGAGCTCCCGTAGTCTGTCCCATTTCCTGCCAACCTTGCAGTTCGAAAGCATGCAAATGCAAGTAGATAAAAAAGGTATCACTTCGGGTGTTTAGTCATGCCGGCCACATGACCACGGAGACTGTCTGCAGACAAACGCTGGCTCCCTCAGCTAGGAAATGGAGATGAACACCACCCCCTAGAGTCAGGCATGACTGGACTTAATGTCAAGGGGAAACCTTTACCTTTACCTTTACCTTTTAGTTTAGGGCCCAGTGATTTTAAAAGATCTGAATTGTAACTGAATTGACCTGATTCTATCCATTAACATGTAGAATATATCTTTTGCAAACTGAAAATTCTAACAATTTTAGGAGTGAAACCATGGGCAAACATTTCACTATAAACTTTGACAGAGATCAGATTTGACTGATGGGCTTCAAGCTAGCCTTCCTCACATTAAAATAAATTAGATTTTTTAAAAGTGTTTTTGACCAGGCTATAAAAACAATCAGGTGGCTAATGGTGTGAGTTGGGGAGCCCCAGTTCAAATCATGGTTCAGTCATGAATTAACTAGGTAGCCTTAGGCAAACCATTCTCTGTTGGCTCCAAGATCTCCTTCCTTGGTTTGCAGTATGGGGATAACAACCACATTTGTTCTAAGGATTACAAGATAATCTATGTGAAACACACAAAAATGCAAAGTGTTTATAATCTATCCATTGGTGGGCATAAAATATCTTTCCCCAGTGTTATTACTGATTTATTTTGTAAAAGCCTTTTAACCTCTTCAATCTCAATTTCATTGACTTCAAACCAAGGCTATATTAGTTCTGTTGGAAAATAGTTTGATACATAGGCATTGCCATTTTGCCTACTTAAACACCAGCATTCACTTCTGCTCAGTGGAAATAAGGAGGAATGCTCAGGGTGTGCTGTATTAATCTCTCACCACCACAACAAAGGATAGTATATAAGGTGCCACAGGATCATGTTCTGCAGTTCATTGTGTGTGTGTGTGTGTGTGTGTGTGTGTGTGTTGCTGAGACCACTGTAGTGCTTGGTCATGTCCTAACAAACATTCTTCTTGATGTTATGAAACATTATTATAGAAAGAAATCCTAGATCCAAAGAACTATAGTACTGCTTCCTTGTGAACATCAGACCTCCCATGCTTAAACAGCAACCTTTTTTTGAAATTGAGGGGTTTGTTGAGCAGTTTGTGATACAATTCTAATACTTGCCAATTGAAGGACAAAAGTTAAAGAGTCCCTTTGGGCTTGACTTAAAGTAGGCTTTTAATTTCTACTCATGGTAAAAATGTATAACACTTCAGAGTAAATGTATAACCCAGCCAAAAATAAAACTTCAAAGTTCTCCTGAATTCACTGGCAAAGTTAAGCACGTGGCTGCATCCCTCCTACTGAAATCAATGGGATTTGACAGTGCTTACCTTTTGGCAAGAATCATACTTTCAGTGTTCACACTGCTACAGTCAGATATTTCCTTTTGTTCATTTGCTTCCCTAATGTGTTGTAACTGGCTTCAATCAGAATTTCAATTATAATTTTAGATGAAAATGCTGCTAGGCAACATTAATGGCTTAAATAATTCAAATTTGAAGCTGTAGAAAATGTATTGTGTTCCACTGTCTTAAACTGCTTTTAATATGAGGTTGCGAGGTATAGAGCTATATTCTGAAGGTATCTTTTTACAAAGGCTTGTTCATGTAATCTAAACCTCAGTGGAAGAAAAACATGTGGATGGCATTTTATTTTTAGGGAGAGCCTGTGAAGAAAACGGATATCTTCGTTGCTGTAAAAACTTGCAGGAAATTCCATGGAGATAGAAGTAAGTTATGTATTTGCCATTTATGCAGGGGTTTTTTGTTAATCCCTATAAAATCTTGCAATGTGTAGTAGCATGTCTTTTAGAAATCGAATATTCACTTGTTGCAATGTTTATTTTGGAAATAGCTTATGGGGAACTTGTATGAAGAAGAGGGAAGGGAGTAGATGATTTTCACTGAAAGTGATGAGCCAACAAAAGCTTAAAAACTGCATGTTTTAAATCATTTTTGTAATTCCACAGGCAAATGCCAAAATAATTGCCCTGGTCTCCAAAAGCAGAGCTTATCAACTCACATTGATTTACATGAGCTATTTTGAACATTTTCTTTGGGCAACAGTGAGAAAATATACACTTTTCAAGAAGTTAATATGATCTTGAGGATACTTGGTCTTCAAGCTAGAAATCTACTTTGCCACCAGGAACTAACTGGGTATTCTTCAAGGGGAATGGTATTTTATTTTCTAGGATTATTGTGAGGCCATTAATGTGATGATTGCCATGTTCTCTGTAAACTTAGAATAGTATGTATAATTTTAAAAAGTCAATTACCAAAACTGGATTGTTGTACATTTTAAGTCTTTGAGGAACATTATTGCCATAAAGTGTAATAAGCAATGTTTATATGCTTGGTGCTATTCAGGTTTCATGGGTTGCTTGTACTGCAGATAAAAGCAAAGCAAAACACAAGCTGGTAACCATAGTCCTGGAACATTTTGAACTTTACTAAAGCACTTGGAAATGTTTGAATAAAAGAAGTACAGTAGACTCTCAACTGTCCGGCCTAATGTGGCAGAAGGGCAGGCCGGATAGACTGGAGTTCCATAAATGCTCACTTCCTATCCCACCCATATCATTAAAAACACCCTTTTATACCAAAACCTGCTCTTATTCATATTTTCTGACCTCTTAGTACAGGCCAGTACTTTATAAATGTTTGTTATGTACTGTACTGTACATTTAAGAAATTTATTACAGAAAAAGGAAGTCCAAGGATAAAAATATTGTACACATTTTAAGATAAATTTTATAGTGCCTAACTTAATTGCAGGAAACATAAAATCATGTACACTGTGCAGTATAAATACATACACTTTTAAAATAAACAAAACATTAACGTAAAATGTAGGCTTAAATCTTACAAAAATTATTTAAACTTATTTTACTGTTCATAGATAGTTATTTTTTAACTAGGCCGGATAGTACGGAGGCCGGATAGTTGCGAGCCAGATAGTCGAGAGTCTACTGTAACTGCAGCTTTAGAGTAAATATCTGTTGCCCTGGCCCACAGAAAACCAAGCTGTGCCTTTTGAGTTTCATTTGACTGTAAATCCCAGACTAAACATTATTTTGATCTATTTGTTTGTTTCCTGTATTTTATTTACAAGATTCATATACCATCCATAGTCTAGTATTTTCCTTCCTGTTTGAAATGCAGAATTAATGTTTAGGTTGTTTTTGGAATCAAGTTCTAAATTCTGTAGCATACTCCAGCAATAGTTTATTGGCTGCCATGAAGCTGGATTCCCTTACCTAATACCCACTAGTGAGAAAATGGGAAGTCAGACAATAACAGCAGTCAATCCGTTTGGTACTCAATTATTTTCTTCTACCTAACAATTGCTCAGTGGAAGCATCCAAGGAGTATGATGATCATACCAGGGCATAGACATTCTTTGACAAAAAGAGGGTGGCATGTAGGTTAACATGAACAAAAATATAAAACTGGATCAGGGAGGAGGGTCTTAAAAAGCCTTTAAAAGGACAAAATACTTAGTTGATGGTCCCAATCTTAATTTAAAATTCCGTCTTTATTCATTATGAGCAGAAGGAGCCATAGCTTTGACCCACAACAAGGTGGTGGAAAGGGCACTCTTTTTTAACCCATCATGAGTTATTTATACCATTTGAGCATCTAATGTTATGGAAGCTGATACACACATTTTCCGTCAAGATGTACATGAAATTGATGGTGGAGTCAGGTCGTTCCTTCAGATCAGTGGTTCCCAAACTCTGTCCTGCGGAAGCCTAGGGTTCTGCAAAAGCCTCATAGGGGTTCCATGAAAAATCTCAAAAATCAAATTTAAAATGGATTTTACAATGAAATTACACAAGGCCAACTATTTGATTGTCATTTGGCATCCAAACAGCAAACAAGGAAATGCATCACATAATTTTGGTAATTTGGTATTTATGAGGACTGTATTGAGTAGTTTTGGGGATAATCGAAATAATTCATTTGGGATATTAGCATATAATTGCTCTATTCATTATATTTAAAATGGTTTCTCTTTATTTACAACCCTACTACATTATGCTAAGCAATCAGGCAGTAGGAGCAGATGAAAGAAGGAAGAACATTGTGGGTTCATAATGCTTAGTAAAAATTAGGGACAGAGTTTGTGTTCTGCAGGAAATAAATGTCTTCAGAAAGGTTCCATGATGGCAAAACTTGGGGAACCACTGCTTTACATATACTGGTGATGTGATACTGAAAAAGAGGCATAGGTGGACAGTATACCTGAAAATCAGATACCTAAATTGACCATATGCCCACCCCATATACATTTGTGTATCATTGGCATTTTATTGCCATCCATCATAAAAATGAATAAAATGATTCAGGAAAAATATTAAACAGTATACAGTGTTACTAGTTGAATGATTTTTTCAGATTTATAGAAGGAATGGAATATAGCATACTTCTATTAAGCAGTGTGTTATAGAGTCAAACTGTAGAAATTAGTTGTTTAATTTTAGTAAGATTAAAGGGGTTGAGGAACAGCTTTGAACCAGATGGCTTTTCCTTTTAATCCTATTACTAATGGCAGCTGTCTAAACTTGAAGAATTTTGTTTGCATCATATCTGTCATGTATTTCATGCATCCCTTGGATATCAAATGGTGATTCGTTCAGTAGGCTGTAAGACAAACTAATGCAGATGTGTCCTGTGGTAAAGGAAATTGGCCTTCAGCTTTTTTCTATGCCTTCTTGACTACATAGCTAACATGTATTGATCTTATGTACAGAACAAATAACATTGTTCTGTAGAGAACAAATTTATTAGAAAGATTAAAAATGGATGTTCTGTAATTAGTTTTGTTGTGCTTTCTTAGTCTTTTGTGTGGGTGGGAGACATCTGGGTTTTCCTTGGTACCTGGTATGTGTTCCCCAATTACCACAGACTTTTCATGTATTTAAGTCCCAGATAAGCAAACAGCCAGGCAGGAGTTCAAATTCAGAAGACTCAGTCCAAGGAAAAATAAAAAGTGGTAAACAGTTGTAGAGTATAGCTTTAGACAGAATTCTCAGAGTTCAGAGTTACAGGTAGGAGGTTCTCTAATGTATAGGGAAAAAGTGGGAGGTTATTGGAACCTCTTTGTCACCTGATTTCCTGCAATATGTTGATTTAGGTCCCATACTCCACACAGGTACAGTTTCTGCATAGACTGAAGTCCTTGCATTTCTTTCATAAGAATAGCTGCCATAGTGCCATATCACACTTGTGTTTTATCTCGGGCATATAGTGCCTGATACTAAGTTTATAATACATGCTTCACATGCGTGTTAAGAAACATCATACTCTATCTAGCTGTTTCTTTATTTTCTCCTACCTTCCTTTTAGTAGAATTCATTAGCTCTACTATGCTATTGAATCTGTACACTCTGATCATTAATGATGATATCTATATGGGTTCTGCCATCATTACTAGCTTTGTAGTTTGGCTTCAGGTACATGACCAGTTTCTTCTTTTCTCTGACATTTGGTATATCTTCAGTCACTCTTCTTTAAACACCCATTTAGGAATGAACTGTACAGTTTGGTCTGAAGATTTTAACTTTGTTTCCATATATTTTTTCTTTGGATTGTTTGTGTACCATCCAGATATTTGCATGAGTATTTGACATTTCTGGGCATGGCATTTGCCTGTGATACCACCTGTCAGATTGATAGTATCCACAACTGGGAAAGAGTTGTACAAATAAAAGTGCAGAACATCTGAAGTTCGAATCTGGTTATATCCTTCCTTTCCTAGCAAGTGGCCCAGTTTGCATTACATGACAGTCCATCATGGACTGTTTAAGCCAGTTAACTGGTGTGTGCCATTTTCCATTTTAAATATGCAGCCCCCACTTAAACATTATGTCATGTGAATCCAGTGTCTTTGTGCTAACTAAGGTTTACTCCTACAACAGATCATGAGTTATATAGAAATTGTTTTAACCCTCACATAATCCATGTCACTGGGTTTGCATATCACAACAGCCCCTAAGCTAGTTTTACATGTGCACAATGGTGAGCTGCACCATGCCATGTAAACTGGGTCAATGTACCATGAAACTTAAATACCAGGAAGTCTGCTGCACTGTTTATCCTTTTGAGAAATTTTCATATACATATTCCTCTTTCCAAGGCAGCTTACAGTAAAGTAAATCTAAAATCAAAATAAAACGGCAATATAATAAAAACAACAACCCTCAGACATAAAATCTATTCTTCTTAATTTAAAACCTCAGGAGAATAAGAAAGTTCTAGCCTGTAACCTAAATGATAGTGCCAGGCAAACAAAGCAGAGTGTTTTAATAGTTTGTTGGGGGCTGGGTTCCCTCCTCCTTCCTTTCAATCAATGAACACTTACACTTTTTTTTTTTTTTGAAAAAATACTTTATTTCCAACATGCAGCCAGCAAAACAATAGTCAACAAAGGAAAAGCCTCTGAGCATAGAGTGGTTCGTTGAATCCAAACTATTTGTGGGAACCTTCCTTTTCAGTAACCTTGGGCTCAACCCAGGTGATAGGTGTTCCCGTGTGTAATCATATAAAAACAGAAATCATCTAATTGTAGTTCTGAAAAGATTCTGGTCACTGTGTATATTTTTGCTTAATGTGACATAACAAGCATGCAGGCAAGCTACCTGAGTTCGCTTAAACATAGCTTGGCATGATGTCAGAAAATTGTGTTGGCTGCACTGAAGAGTGAGATTAGGTTAAATGTTATGCT